GTGATGGGTGTTCTCCGCTTGAGAGGCACAAACGGCAGGTTGTGTCTGTTTATATGATGTCAAACAGCCTTTGATGCTCACATCGCCTAGATCTGTCAATACATTAAGAGTTACAATGCACCTGATATTCTAATGTTCAAGAATTTCTTCATTTATTTATCTGCGAAAAAACAATTGTCTCAAAAAAAAAAAAAAAAAAAAAAGGAAACAGAGTATATGAGAACCAGAAGAGTGCCAGCCATCTCACCAAGCAAAGGGAGTCTGAGCATTCCAAGAAAGAAGGGGCAACCAACAGCATCAAGGATCAGAGTATTCCTATTACTTAAAACTCTTCTCAAATAACATTAGCCAACTCAAACTAGTGCCCAGCAAAAAAAGGAAATGTCTCTATAAGTGGTATGCACGGTGGTTAGAAGTATGGGTTCTAGAGTTGCCTGAGTTCTCACCTCTGCTCTCTTACTTTACTGGCTGTGTGATCTTGGGTAGCTTATTTCTCTTTGTCTATTTCCTCGTCTATAAAAGGGGGAAAATAATAGTACATGCTAATAGTGTTTCAGGGAAGCTCTAAGGAAATAACGTGTGGCACGTCTCGTTTATAGGTATACAAGGACAGGAATTCTGGGCGGTTTATACTATTAGGAATCTCTTTGGCTCTCATTACTGTCTCACCATTGCCCAAGTTTACACCTTCATTTAGGTGATCCGTCTAATATGTATTTCTAGTATATACATTGCATATATGTATACAATATGTGGCCTTTAGTATCTGTCTTCTCTCACTTAGCATGTTTTCAAGTCTCATGTATGTTGTAGCATGCACCGACACTTCATTCCTTTTTATGGCTGAATAATATTGCCTTATATAGAGTATCACATTTTGTTTGTCCATTTATCAATTGGACATTTGGGTTTCCACTTTTTGGTTCTTCTCAATATTACTGCTATGGATAGTCATGTACAGATTTTTGTGTGAACATATGTTTTCATTTCTCTGAGGTATAGACCTAGGAGTCAAATTGCTGGGCCATATAGTAACTCTGTGTTTAACTTTTTGAAGAACTGACAGACAGTTTTGCACAGTGGCTGCACCATTTTACTTTCACACTAACAATGTAGGAAGGTTCCAGTTTCTCCACATCCTCACCGACACTTGTTATTGTCCATCACTTTAATTGTAGCCCTCCCAGTGGGCATGCAGTGGTGTCTCATTGCGGTGTTGATTTACATTTCCCTAATGGCTGCTGATGTGCAGCTTGCACTGTAGTTGTGCAAGCCTCTGTGCTAAATCCAGGAAGCCTCCTGCAGCTGTTGCTCCACACTCTTTCCTACCAAGGAAATGTGTTTGTTAAAAATAGGCCGCACGGGTGATTATTCTCTTCCATATCATCAAACTCCCGGTAGTACTTGGGATTTCTCTCTAATACCTGGACCTCTGCATCCACATCATGTCCTCTAAATAGCTAAGCCAAGCCAATATCCAGTCCTGCATCAGAGGCAAGAGATGGAAGCCAGGGACATGTCACTGGGAGGCAACCATCACCCACCGGCACTGCTGTGTCCATGCCGCCTCCTGCCCTGCCAGCGGCCGGGCCCAGCCTCACTCTGCCCCAGAGACTCACCTGGAGGGCACGTCGAAGAGGAGGTCTCTAAGGGCACTCTCCTTGGAGCCCGTGACCAGGCTTAGCACCGAGGCGGTCCCTTCCTGCGCGCCAGGCCCCAGACACCACCTCCTGCAGCTGTGGCTGTGCCCCTGGCATCCATCGTTCTTTAAGGAGTGGGCTTCAGTTACAAGGGATCAGTGAGAGGAAGAAGAAGTAGGAGGGAAGAAAATACAGAATCAGTGAAGACGAAAAGGGAGTGAGAATCCTAATATTCTGAGCAAATGACTTTATTAAAAATAAAGCAACATCATTACCAAATGAAAACTGATTCTTATTGCAGATCTAGTTCTTTCGGGGGAGATCTTAAAGTGGACACTGCAATCCTGGTCTTATAAAAGTGATAGAATGATATTGCCATCATTTTCTCCTTAGATAACGATTAATTGTATATGTTATCCACAACAATCCAGGAATGGTGGGAGAGGCTTGGGGGTGGGAGAGACTGACTTAGGACGTAATTATTAAGGATGACAATGAAGGTGGCAGGTAAAGAAGAGTGACGGAAATTTTTAGGGCTAAAAGACTGAATTTGGGGATAAGTAGGAATTGGAAGTTTCCCAAGAACACTTAAACTGGTCAGTTTGTGAAGCATGGACTTACCTCTCCCCTGAACTCTCAGAGAAACTGCCACACTCGGTGAGTTCTCTTGTTCAAATAGTTCTGAGTGACGTCTGTCACCATAAAGTCAGACCTCAACCCATCCTTCTCATTTTGATTCAAGATGTTAACAAGAGGTTGTCACTGGCCATTGGGATTTTGAGTCATTTTTATTCTTTTTTCTTGTAATTGATTTAATGTTTTACGATGAACACGTATTGTATTCATAATTAGGGAAATACCAATAAAACTATTCTCAGTTGGGGAAATATGTGTCCCAGTTACAGTCCACATCCCTGGATCCAGGTCAGAATCTCAAGCAGTGGATATCAGCCCTTCCTCACCATCTCTCTCACCCAGGAGCTGGTGCTGGGTGCGAGGCTAGGGTGGTAAACATTCCCCGCCCCCACATTCAGGGAGAACAATGGTTGCCAGGGGGGATGTCACCTGAGAGTGGTGACCAGCTTTATCTCGCCTCAGAGGATGCACATTCTGGCCTCACCCCTGTCTTCCCAAACGTTACATTTTCTTCTTGACTTTGGGAAAATCCATGAAGAGTCAAGTGCAGAGCTCAGTTCCTATGCACCTGGGGAAAAAAAAAACAATCTTACACAAAGCTACAGCTTCAATCAAGGTAAGAACTTTCATGTGTTGTGGTCAAAACTTTTTTTAAAAAGCCGAAACTTTTTAATCTCCTTACTTGCTTCCTCCTCAAAAGCCCTGTGGGATTGGCTCCTGTCAGAAAGCCAGGTTGTCTCTGGAACTGCTGACTTGATCCCATGTAGAACCTACCTTGGAGCCTACATAAGTGCCTTATAAGTGCCCATGCCTGCATTTTGTTCAGTGAGTCATCCAGAAGGCAAAGGAAGATGACGTGAAAAAGATTCAGGAGTGATGAATGCATGACCAAAAACGGTCTAGACTTTAGGTAACGGAGGGGAGGACACCCCTGGGAAAACATGAAGTTATTCCCAAAGCCCCTGACAAGCATACCCCAGAGATAAGCTAGGAGGACAGTCTCTGGAATCAGGCAGGAAAATCTGTGGAGAAATAGAGATGTCACACCTAAAAACAAGAGGAAATGCTGGCTTGAGGTTCAGGTTTGCAGAAGACCAAATGACCCACTGTTTTCTCTTCTTGGAGCTACCCGTCTTTGAATGTGGCTTAAGAGAGCAGGAAGACAGTAATAAGTACTTGATTAAAGACTACCACCACCTCACAGAACTCCTGGCTCATGATGAATCAGGTCAAAATCTATCACACATAAGATTAGTGGTAGACAGAGGGAGCAGTGAGCATTTTGGAAGGGATAGATCTTGGAAGAGAGAGAGAGTTAAAGGCTTCAGGTATCCCATTCTGGAACATTCCATGATGTTTAACATAGGCAACACAGACAAGAGCAAAGTCTAGAGAATGTCTTCCTAGCTTCAGAGAGTCAACAGAGTAACGGAGTTAATAGGCTCTTCTGCAATTCTTCTACCACAAATATCCATTAAAGATCACCTCTTCTCAATTCCTCACTCATTCCCTCCTTACCCCTTCCTTACCTCCTCAGGGAAGGCAATCTGTTCCAAATGTGGGAATAAGAAATGTTCCCCTGTAATGCACCCAGAAACTCCTATTGGAACAGAATCGAGCTCCCTGCCCTTGACCTTACCCTCAATGGAAATCAGGTCAGGGAGTATGGAGGTGGAGCAATCGAGGTGGAAAGAGTTTGGGAAATTTAATTAAACTGGTGTCCAGAAGAAGAGAAATGAAGGAATGGATAGATAGGAAGATGTGCAGGATAGATAGGAAGATTTGCAGGCAAGTACAGGGTAGCCCTGGCTGTGAGATGAAGAGCACCTTGCATACACTTCTATACACATGTGTGTCCCAAACATGAGAAATACATAGTTCTCTTTTGAGAGAAAAAAGTTGTTAAGCACCCCTAAGAATATATATCTAAGAACCCAAGGTTCAGAATTACTGGCTTTGGAAACTACACTTATTCAATGATAATGTTTTTCAATTGTAAGTTATAACTGCAAGAGAGAAATTTAATTTTTTGAAATTAGAAAAGCTTTTTAATATTACCATCGGATGAAACTTTTCTCAATACTGTGTGTATAAATTGCAGACATCTGAGCTTACCTCAAAAGATTGTGGATTGGGAAACAGCTCTACAAGTTCCCAAACCCAGCACCATGAAAGCTTTGCTATGGAAACTTATCATTATTGCAGCAGCGGTGGTGCTCCCAGTCTTCTACTTCATTGATGAAAACCCCTTTGATACTACAAGTTTCCTATCTTGGGTAAGTATCAGAAATTTGGGGTGGGGCAAACTTGAAATCCCTGGACTGAAAGGCATTATCTAAGTGTCTATTTGTGTGAAATTGTCACGAATACCGTAGACAGTCAAGGAAAGACAAGAAAGCTTGAGGAATCAACATATCATTTTTCTCTGATGAAGATAGTAAGGGATGGTGGCACTCTGGAAGAAAGAGAATTCAGGGCTGGGAAGAAATAACACTTATTTAATGTTTCAGCAGAGTTGGTGCCTTCCTTATAGCAATTGATGAGATAGAAAATTTTCTTCTTGTTTTATGTTTCCCATTTTAGAAAATTTCCTTCGTTTTCAAAGTTATACATGTTCCTCCATTTTATGCATTAGGATCCTGAACCTCAGAGCAGCTGAGTCATTTCTCCAAGTCAAGAAAAATTCTAGGGAGCAGAGAAAATTTCACCAGAACCTAGAAAAAGCAAAGAAAAGAAGGGAGAGTGGGGAATGAATTTGGAAGGGTGGAATGCCACCAATGGGAAAGACTTTAGATTGGGGTCCTGGGATGGTATTACCTGGCCTTCTGTATCTTTCACACCTAACATGCTATGCCCTTCATGGGATTAGGTGTTGCATATCAGACTGTAATCATAGCGATAACTGTGGGTGAAGAATGGCATACACTGACATCATCTCATCCCCTGCATATAACCCCGGCTAGAGAAATACCCACTCCCTTTACCCCAGGATCCACAATCTATATAAAAATCCATAGGGTAGAACTTTTTCAGAAGATAAAGAAGAAACTCAAACTGAGCCTGAGCAACCTCCCGTGGTATCCTGGTAACTATTTCATTACATTATATAAAGGGGGATCCAACTAGCTATTATTTCCAAAGGGAATGAACTGTAGAGCTGAAATTCACCCTTTTCTTAGAGGGAAAAGAAGATGGTAGCTTGGCAGAGAGCCCGGATGCAGACCAGCTTTGTTAGAACAAGCCACCTCAAAACCTTCAAAACTATGCAGAGAAACTCAGAACTACTCAAAAATGTGAGCTCCCGTATCTTGATTGGAGCCCTTCCGATGGAAAAAAGTGAGTATCCACATGGGCTGTTGTAGATCATCCAGGTCAGGCAAGAGTAGAGAGGAAAGGCAGGTGGAAAGGAAAGGACACAGATGCCTGGGGGAAGAAGGCAGGCATGCAGGGGGATGAAGGAACAGGCCTATGGAATTAGACTACAATTAATAGTAATTCTGAGTTCATTAATACCCCGTTCCATCTTCTGATGAAACTAGGAAGGTGATAGAAAAATACAGAAGGAAAGTGTGAGAAGGAGAAAGAAGTTGAGAGGTGACAACACAGAGTCTTGAGAGCATGGTCTCCCTGGGTTCCGTGGAGGTCTAGAGACCTTCTAGTGCCTGGCCACTTAAGGCGTAGTCTGTGGACAGACACCAGCAACATCTGGGAGCTTGCTAGAAATACAGACCCCTAGGGCCACCCTAGGGGTGGCCTACAGAATCAGAATTTTCAGACCCCCAGGTGACTGGTGTGCACATTAAAGCCTGAGAAGTATACTTTAGCAGATCTGCAGCACGGGAGATGATTCTGGAGAGCAAAGCCAGGACTATGAAAGTTTCAGGTCACCAAAATTGGTTTTAGTGCTCTTTAGACTCTCCATATGCTGGAGACCCTGTCCTTCCATCCTTGGTGTGAGTTACCTTCACAGTCTTTAAAAACCTTCATTTGCAGCAGATCGTAAACTATTTGCACAGAATGCATTGTAAATATATATTGTATAGAGAGTAGAAAGTGAAAGTTCTTTTTCTCACCCATGTCTTTCCCCTCCCATAGAAGTGTGATGAGTACCCTTCCTGCGATCCACACATCCTTCTAGCATTTGCATGTATGCTATATCTGTGGGATTTAAAAAGATCGCTTTATATGTATTGCTCTGAGATTTTCTTTCTTCGTTCATTGATATGTATATGTCGGAGAATTTTCCCTTACCCCATTCTTTCTATAACTGCTGGCGATAACATAGTATGAATGTAAAAAAAATTATTTAATCATTCCTTACTGATGGGCACTCAGTTGTTTTAAATATTTTTCTATTATAACCAATGTCACAATTAATATATTTTTGCTCATATGTAAAAATATTTCTATGGGAAATACTCCTATACATGAAACTAATGGGTCAAAGGGCATATACACTTTAGATTTTGATTGATACCTCCACATTGTATAAAAAAAGCATACATAAGTTTTGGGGTGTCTATTTCCTCACAATCTTGCCAGTGCTATTGTTGTTTGTCAATTTAAAGGGCAGATAATATTTCTTATTATTTGGTGATATTTGTTGTTATTTGCTGTCCCTCATTATTAGTAACAGTTTGACTATATATATATACTATATAGTATATATAATGATATATAGGCTATATACCTTATGTTTAAAGGTCATTTTTTTTTGTTTTTTTATTTTGGACAGGTCTCACTTTGTTGCTCAGGCTAGAGTGAGTGCCGTGGTGTCAGCCTAGCTCACAGCACCTCCAAACTTCTGGGCTCAAGTGATCCTCCTGCCTCAGCCTCCCGAGTAGCTGGGACTACCACGCCCAGCTAATTTTTCTATTACTATTGTTGGCATTAATTTTCTTTCTATTTATAGTAGAGACGGGGTCTCGCTCTTGCTCAGGCTAGTTTCGAACGCCTGACCTTGAGCAATCCGCCCGCCTCGGCCTCCCAGTGTGCTAGGATTACAGACGTGAGCCACTGCGCCTGGCCCAGAGTCTATGCTTATCTTTTGTTCATGATTCTTTTGTCATATGGATATTTTTAGATCTTGTATAATCGAATCTGTCCATGATTTTATGGCTTCTGGGTTCCATGTCTTGCTTAAGAGAAAAAACTTCCCTACTACAGGATTATTTCTGGCAAACTTTCACTATAAGTTCTTCTAATACTCTTGTGGTTTTGCTTTTTATGGTAGAAACAGTTTACACAGATGATATTTATTTTTAAGTAACATGTGAGCTAGATAATTAGCTTTATTTAAAATTGGATATCCTATGATCTCAGTACCATTTGCTAAATACTCCACCTCCCCAACACACACCCCCCACTGATAAGAAATGCTCCTGTTGTCATGGAAGCTCCCATGGGTTTATTTCTGGAAACCATTTTGTTCCATTGACTTTTTAAAATATTCCGGTACCAATTCCTTATGATTTGAGTTTTTTTTTTTTTTTTTTTTTGAGCAGAGTCTCTTTGTTACCCAGATAGAATGAGTGCCGTGGCGTCAGCCTAGCTCACAGCAACCTCAACTCCTGGGCCTCGAGCAATCTGCTGCCGTCAGCCCTCCCGAGTAGCTGGGACTACAGGCATGTGCCACCATGCCCCTAATTTTTTTTCTATATATATTAGTTGGCCAATTAATTTCTTTCTATTTATAGTAGAGACGGGGTCTCGCTCTTGGTCAGGCTGGTTTCGAACTCCTGACTTGAGCATCACCCGCCTCGGCCTCCCAGAGTGCTAGGATTACAGGCGTGAGCCACCGCGCCCGGCCTGATTTGAGTTTCTGTTGCTTTATTGTACATGTTTTTAGATTAATCCTCCATCCCCTACTTATTATGGTACTCTTTCAAATTTTTGTCTAGTCTTTATTTTTTCTCTTCCAGATGAATTTTTTTTTTGTTTTGAGATGAATTTTATAATTAGCTTACCAAACTCTATGAAAAAATACTCTTGATTGAGATTGCATCAAATTTATAGATATACTTGGAGTTAATTAATGCCTTTTAATACTGATCATACCATCCAAAAATGTGTTATATATCTACATGTATACAAGTCTTCTTTTATGAACTTCATTATAGCTTTGTTATTTTCTTTTGTAGGTCTTACAAAATTCTGGCTAAGTGTGTTCCTCTGTATGTTACAGTTTTTTTTTTTTTTTTGAGACAGAGTCTGGCTCTGTTGCCCAGGCTAGAGTACAGTTTTTTTTTTTGTTTGTTTGTTTTTTGAGACAGAGTCTCGCTTTTGTTGCCCAGGCTAGAGTGAGTGCCATGGCATCAGCCTAGCTCACAGCAACCTCAATCTCCTGGGCTCAGGCAATCCTTCTGCCTCAGCCTCCCAAGTAGCTGGGACTACAGGCATGCGCCACCATGCCCGGCTAATTTTTCTATATATATATTAGTTGGCCATTAATTTCTTCTATTTATAGTAGAAACGGGGTCTCGCTCAGGCTCAGGCTGGTTTCGAACTCCTGACCTCGAGCAATCCGCCCGCCTCGGCCTCCCAGAGTGCTAGGATTACAGGCGTGAGCCACCGCGCCCGGCCTAGAGTACAGTTTTTAAACTTCATAAAAATGGTATAAAACTAACTGTATGGGTTTCTTCCAGGACTCGCTTTTTTCACTTCATGTTATGTTTGTGAGATTTCTTTCACTTCCTTTTCATTCCTTTTCACTTAATGTGATGTTTGTATTACTATGTATAAAACATTCAACCAAGTTGAATGAACCATCATAATATTTTGATCCATCTCCTGTTGATAGACACTTAGGTTTACTCCAGTTTTTGCTATTTCCAAGAACATTGCTGTGAATATTCATGTACACAAGTCCTTATGAACGCACGGGAGAAATCCTCTAGGGTATAATCCTAGTAGTAAATTGCTAGCTTATAGGATATGTATATCTTCCACTTCTTAGATTTCGCCAAACTGTGGCTTACCAAAACAAAACAAAAAGCACATGACACAGTTATCACTCGTTCACTCTCTAAATGCAATTACGTTTTAAATATACTCAACATGCTAAAGCTTTTTAAGTGGCTTAGTTTATATTCCTGCCATCAAGATATGAAGTGCTGTTATTCTGCATCTTTGCCACCTGTTAGTACCGTCCTATTTTTCAACTTCTGTAATTCTTTGGTTCTGATTTGCTCTTCTCTGACTACCAGTATGGTCGACACACCTGTGTCTATTGGTCATTACGCTTTCATGTGTCTTATCGGTCACTTATATTTTTATTTTCGTGGCATGCCAATTCATAATTTGTCTATTTTCTAATGATTTGTTTGTACTTATGATATTTTTTAAATCTTCATTCCTCTAGTTATGACACATTTTTTATTCCTAATATTATTTGCATTTTCTCCCTTTTTAGCCATAAGTTTAGTTTACTAATATTTTCTAACAACCACCTTTTATTGATCTTCTGCATTTTTTACCCTATTATATTTAATTACATTTTGCTTTTATTTTCCTAATTCCACACTCTGCTCCCCTTATTTTTATTTTTGCCTTAGTTTTTTTTATTGTTTTTTCCAGATAATAAATGAAGAAATTCTTGACTTAGAATATCAGTGCATTGTAACTCTTAATGTATTGACAGATCTAGGCATTGAGCATCAAAGGCTGTTGACATCATATAAACAGACACAACCTGCCGTTATGTGCCTTCAAGCGGGAGAACACATCACCAACCCATGAGGCTTTTTTTTTTCGAGACAGTCTCACTTTGTTGCCCAGGCTAGAGTGCCATGGCATCAGCCTAGCTCACAGAAACCTCAAACTCTTGGGCTCAAGCAGTCCTCCTGCCTCAGCCTCCCAAGTAGCTGGGACTACAGGCATGCGCCACCATACCCGGATAATTTTTTCTCTATATATATTTTTTAGTTGGACAATTAATTTCTTTCTATTTTTAGTAGAGATGGGGTCTTGATCTTGCTCAGGCTGGTTTTGAACTTCTGACCTTGAGCGATCCTCCCGCCTCTGCCTCCCAGAGTGCTAGGATTACAGGTGTGAGCCACCACGCCCAGCCAACACATGAAGTATTTTTACCCCCAAATCTAACCTGAACTTGATCAAGTCCCCACATCCATATTTTCTACAAGCTCTTTCAGATTCATATCAGCCTGTTCTTTTGCCAAACAATGTGATTTCCTCTCCGTTCTGAGTATTGATTTAACATATTTGACATTCTTCGGTTCCTTGTTTCCTCTGGTAGCTTCTATTTCTGGAGTCATCTTCCATTATATTGATGATTCCTGTTTCAGATTTATATTTGAGGGTCTAAAGTGAACATTGACTTCTTTGTTCTAAATAGCCGTCCCCGTTTGCCTCTCTGTAAAAGTGATTATGGAAGCCTGCCTCCATTTGATTGTAAGGAGTAGTGACACATGGGGTCAATGAGGGCTGTGGGTAGCTGATCTTCTGGGCAGAGTATCCCCCCATCCCTTCTAGTAAAGTCCTAAGTCATCTGAGGCATGTCCCCATTGATCTGCCTTAGATGTCTGCTGGCAGTCTCTTCATTTCTGAACTTGCTTCAGGGACCCGTACGTAGAGCTTTATCCTAGAGGCAAAGGCCCTAGTTAACTCTGTGATCTCCTTTCCCAGCTCTGTTGCCCAGAGTCCTGGGCTTCGGTTCTGATGTTTCCTCCAGCCCCAGGACTCACACCATGAGCTTTCCCCTGGCAGAACACCCACATTATCTAGACAAAAAGTCCTTAGGACTTTTTAGCCTGAGCGTGGATGCTGCACCACCAGCCCCTTGGTGGCCACTGGCTCGGTGGTTCTGGGAATGATTCTAGAATTAATTATCCAGATGACCATCCAGGGCCCACGCCTCTTCTTTGTATTTGGTGTCTTTGAACTTAGAATCTCTCCAAGGTTTTTTGTAGAAAGATGCACCTGTTCAGTTGTTTTCTCTTGTGTGTCTTTTGAACTGTAGATCCCTTTACTTATATTTCTCTACAAGCCCTATTCCATATTCTCTCTGTCTTCTGAATTCTTCACATACTATGGTTCTCTCAGGCCAGCACTTTCAGTAGAATGGGGGGGGGGTAGGGGGAGGAGCCATAGATGCAAATGTTTGGTTTGTTACCTTAATGCATTTCCCTCATCATCGTTTTCAAAGGTAATAATTGTTTTCAAAAAAATTCTCAATTTGCGACCAGATATTAACTCCTAACATGGTTCACACTGAGTCCTGGGGGAGAGAAAATGTGAACTAGCCATAGGAATACATGAGGTTGGCATGCAGAAATACCTAAGAGACTATCGCAACCTCACCCACAGCAAACACTTTCCCCAGTCCTCTAAGTTCATAAGGGTCCTCTTTTCTCCCCAATCCTAGAACTGCTGACCATAGGGATTTCCTCGGCGTGGCATCCCCGAGGGAGCAGCCACCTCCTGGACACCCTGCAATCTCTCTTCTCTGCTTCCTCCCCGGCCGAACGAAGACACTCCATTGTTCTGGTACAACTGGCAGATCCTGACCCCAGGTGGCTGGATGAAATGATCTCCAACATCTCAACTCTCTTTAAATCTTATGTCCAGGCCAGACAGCTCGTAGTGATCACTACTCCTCTCAACAGGTATCTTCCCTTGAAGGGCCTTACGAAACACTTCAATGACACCCCTGCCTATGTCGTCTTGCGCTCCAAGCAGAACATGAATTATGCCTTCCTCATGAACTTTGCCACCAACCACTCTGATTATTTCCTGACGATGGAAGATGACGTGAAGTGTGCCCCTGGATTTGTCACCCAGATCGCTTCCATCCTGTCTGCCTGGGAAAGGGAGCCTTGGGTGACTCTGGAGTTCTGTCAGCTGGGCTTCACCGGAAAACTCTTTCGTACCAGAGACCTCTCTGGCTTTGTTCGTTTCCTCCTCCTCTTCTACCAAGAAATGCCCTGCAACAACCTCCTCTCCCATTTCCGAGACATTCTCAGGCAGAAAAAAGCAATCCGGTTCTTCCCCTTCCTCTTCCAGCACATGGGCAAGTACTCTCCCTTTGGAGGCAGATTTGACATGCTCAAAGGTGAAGAATTTAAGGAAAATGACACTGGCTCTCCCAGCAACCCTGCTGCCACCCTTTACACGGATCTGAATGCTACCGATGGCTCTGTTCTCATGAATGCCTATAGCTTGGATGAGAGTTTCTTTTATACCAAAGAGGCTACGGCTGGAAGCCATCTGACTGTGCTTTTGAACATACCTGCTGTAGTGTTCCGAGTTCAAGTGCTGACGGGCTCTGAACTGAAGAAGGAGAATCAGTTGGAAGAGGGGCAAGTAGAACTGGGCTATGACTCTACTAATAGGATCAATGACTGTGATGACTATATTCTGCTGGGCCTCCTCATCAATGGCATCCTGGATAAACACGTATTATCTGAAGAGTCTGGGAAGAAGGTGAAATGTGTGAGAGTAGTGGTAACAGCCCCTCTGCCCTCTGGATTAATAGTCAGGCACATCAACCTCTGGATTAAGGAAACTGAGAAATACACACAGAAGCCATTGGAAGTTCTGGGTGTAGTCAGGTTGGAGTCTACAGAGGTAACAAAACATTAAAGTCTTAAAATTGGTCAGACACATCTCTTTGCTGGTTCCTTTCAAGGATTCTTAATACAGAAGAACACAGCATATTGAAAGGCAGAGGAAGGTAATATCCTCTTTGTGCTAGAGAGTCATGGGTGGGAGGAGGGGACTTCTTAAGACCTTCTCTGGTTTTCTGTCCAAAAGGGTCTACCATCCAAAATTCTTTCCTTGGATCAATAATACCAGACTTCTACAAAGGACAGGAACATGTGAGTAAGACTAACTGATGCTCATATCCCAAGATTCTAACAGTGCATGAAAGAATACAAAGGATCTTTCCACTAACCAGAAAGTAATACTTCCACCAGATAGTAAATTTAAAAAGTATTATATCCCAGGTTGGGGGATGATGGCACAGAGTAGAGCCCCCACTAGAGACCTAAAAGATACAGGGGTGGTGGTTTCTATCATATGTCTGTTTCATTCACTAGTCTGGTCCCTGCAGAAATGAGATAGACCCTGAAAAATGACCATAGACTGCCACAAACTCATCCAACTAGTAACCCTGATCACAGCTGCTGTGCAGACATGGTATCATTGCTAAAGGGTATTAATAAGCCCTTGGGCATATGCTATGCAGCCTTTGATTTGGCAAGTTCATTCTTCTCTATTCTGATCAGAAATGGTTCACGTTCATGTGAGATGATAATATTTACTCATGTTTCTGCCCTAGAACTATGTGAGCTTTCCTTCCCTCTGTCATAATATAGTCCAAAGAGATTTATACTGCCTGGACATCCCACAGAACATCCTATCAACCCATTACCCTGATGACATCCTGCTGCTTAGGCAGGACAAGCAAGAAGTGTCTTAGATGCTGGAGGCCTTCGTAAGCGGGTAAGAGATAAACTCTGCAAAGATTCAGGAACTTGCCACTTGACTAGAGTGTTTAGGGGTCCAGAGTAAAGGACAAACTGCAGCATTTTGCATCCTTTACCATGACAAAGGAAGCACAACGCTTTGTGGGCTTCCTTAGGTTTTGGAGGCAACACTTTCCATACCTAGGAATACTGTTCCAGCTCATTTGCTGGGTGACACTGAGAGTTGCCAGCTTAGATTGGGTCATGGGGCAAGAAAGGGCTTATAGCAGGTCCAGACCATAAGACAAGAGGCTTTGCCACTTGGGCCATATGATCCAGCAGATGCTATGGTGTCAGAGATTATAGTGGTGGGCAAAAATGCAGGGTAGAATTTATGACAAGCAGCAGTGGGAGAATCACAACACAGGCCCCTGGGGAATAGGGACATACAGGGATAGAAATAGGGATATATAGAAACCTGATTTATGATGGAGATGGCATTGCAGATGAGTGAGGAAAGCACTAGTTTCAAAAACATAGTTTTTCTAATACTCTAAGAGACTTTGAAATAGGAAGGGAACTTTTCAATTACAACTAAATTTCCTTTAACACTTCATGTAGTGCAGGTCAGCTGTGTTGTCATTCTCGAAGGAGATTTGTGCTCGATACAGTATTCTCTTTTTTTTTTTTTTTTCAGCACTTTTAGGTTGTTGTTCCACTGCTTTTCAGCCTCTATTGTTTTTGATAAGATCTGTCTTTTCAATAGTTGTTATCTTGTATGTAATGTATTTTTTCCTCCGCTTTCAAGATTCTTCTCACCTGTAATCCAAGCACATTGGGAGCTCGAGGAAGGAGGATTGCTTCAGCCCAGGAGTTTGAGACCAGCCTGAGCAATATAGTGAGACCTAATCTCTACAAAAAATAGAAAAATTAGCCAGGCAACACCTGTAGTCCCAGCTAAGGCAGGAGGATCATTTGAGCCCAGGAGTTGGAGGTTACAGTGAGCCAGGGTGACACCACTGCACTCTAGCCTGGGCAACAGAGCAACACTCAAGAAAGAGAAAGGAAAGGAGAAAGAAAGGAGAAAGGGAAATTTCAGAGGCTCACTGGGCAGTCATAGGCCCAAGAGAGAAAAAGAGAGTTGAGGACCAATTTGTGGTGACTAAGGGTGCTCCAGGCAGCAGAGTATGGCAGCAGCCTGGGCAAGAGGTGTGGAATGGCAGTGCAGACACATCCTTGGGGCTTTATAACAGGTGAAGTGATCGTTCAAAATTCATCCTTTTTTATTTGATTCAAACTGACAGTTAATTTACAATTTATTTTATTTTATTTTATTTTTTTTGGTTTGAGATAAAAGACTGCAAAGCTGGTTTTGAAACCATATCCCCACCACACCCCAAAACAGGTGCATGATGTGAGGCCAGGTAGGTGAGCAGCCCTCCATTCAGGGTGAACAATGGTTGTCAGGCGGGGCCTCCTGGGAGGGGTGACTAGTTTCAGCTACTTCAAAGGAGCCACTCTGGGACCCCATCCTTCATTAACATTTTTTCTCCCAGATTTCAGAGATGTTCCTGCTCTCTGGCCAGCCCTCAAGCCACATTTTCTGTTAGATGAAAAGATGTCAATGAATATAACACTCCAAACCTGGTGAAGACTCTCACATGATCAGAAATTTCTAGTCACTTCCAGGCTTCCATCTTTCTTACCGGTCTGGCACGGGGAAGATATACTAACAAGCATTTCCCTTCATCCTTCTGACTTGGTTTAAAACCTCATATATCTGCCTGACATCACCCTAAAAAGGATCAGACACAAAAGTAAGTGTGGAGCTAATAGACAAGACCCAGTTTACCAGCCAACAAAACCCAAAAGGAGTGTTCGGCATGAGTCTGAAGTTTGGGGAAGAATACAACAGCGAACCTTGCATTTGCTCTTCTTGGCAACACATCCTCTCTGGCGGGATCTCTACTCTAAGAATGGATAAATGAAGGTGGCTCCTCCAGTTTCACCTGGAAACCCAGGGAGCGGGGAAAGAAGGTACAGGCTGAACAGAATCAAACTCTTTGGCCTTTGTCATTCCTTAGATGAATACAAGCAGGGGAAAGAGTTGATCTGGGAGGGAAAAGGTTAAGGAGATAATTAGGCAGTGATGTCCAGGAAGAGAGATGGGGACAATGAAGTGGCAGGCTTCCAGGCAACAGGAAAATATCCCTATGCTCTCTGAGTGGGACGCAGCCAGGATCCATAACCAGCTCACGTTTCTATGCAGAGTGGCTCCTGGCCCCAGAACCATGCACTGCAGCCTATGGAGATGTATCATAGTGGCCGTGTCCTTAGTCCTCCTGGGCTTCATCTTCCAAGAGAATAAAGAAGAGCATGTTGAGTACCATGTATCAGTGGTGAGTACCAGAGATCAAAACTGGACCATTTGCCTACCCTTCTCTTCAGCAGGAGGGAAATTATCTCAATTATGTGAAACTAGTCCCATCATGAGGAGTTTCTAATAGGAGAATACTTGAACAATCTGGAGAGTGTCAGAGAAAAAAATATGAACCAGCTTTGAAATATATATGGGATTCGAACAGGGACAGAGATGAAGAGAGGGCATTCTAAGTGTGGAGAGGGCAATGCACACCCACCTCTAGAGGACCAGGCTGACTGGCAGGACCAGGAGACAATGACGACCACCTGGGTACTGGCCGCCTCCCAACCGGGGCCTGGCACGGGAGATCTTATTCTCCCCATTTCTCACATAAGGGATTTGAAGTAACTTCCCCAAGTGGACATAGTTTGCAAGGGAGAAGACCAAATCCCACACAGGTCGTGATAAAGGTTTGGAATCCACATTTCCACCCCAAACATCTTAGATCAGCTGGAGCCCAGCCCAGGGCAGGTGTGGGGAAGTGGTCCAGAAATGTATTCGCGGTCAGATCTGAGCAAAGGAAGGACTTTAGAATTGAGGCGCCGTGTGCGTGTTCCTTAAGGACAGGGCCGGGCGTTTGACTTCAGCGCATCTCAGAGAACCCAGCACAGGCCTAAGCTGAGTTAGAAGACATTAGCCAGACTGATAATGGTAGGAGAGATTAGGTGTGGGCCATGGTGGGGACAGGCAAACTCTGACTCTCCATAAGCCTAGGGCCTTCCCACAGACATCTCACCCACACCCGGGTCACCCCACCTCCCCGACTCGGGACTCATGGCTTCTGCCAGAAGCCGGTGTGTTCTCATGACCAGGTGGGGACAGCACTGAACTGAGCCCCGACACTCGGCCTCCCTGGTGACTGGGTGCTGGGGCTGGCCGGGCCCATCCTGAAAGGGGGATCTCCTCCTTAGTTGTCTCCAGAGAATCTGGGGCAAACCTCAGGGCTCACATGTATCTTATCCTCAGAAAGAAAAGAAGGAAGTAATTTGGAAGGCAGTTCAGGAACAAATCAGCTCTGAAAGAAAGAACCATCTGGAAACCTTCAAGGAGATGCAGCAGAGGGCTCCTTTACTCCAACACGCCAAGTACAGGTTCCTGGCGGGAGCCCCTCCCCAGCAAAAGAGTGAGTGCAAGGGTCGGGCTAGGAGAAGGCCAACAAGGGAGTTTAACAAGAAAAGGGAAGGAGGGGCCAGGGGCGGTGGGTCACACCTGTAATCCTAGCCCTCTGAGAGGCCGAGGCAGGAGGATTGCTCAAGGTCAGGAGCTCGGAGACCAGCATGAGCAAGAGCGAGACCCCGTCTCTACTATAAATAGAAATAAATTGAATGGCTAACTAAAAGCATATAGAAAAAAATTAGCCGGGCGTGGTGGCGCATGCCTGTAGTCCCAGCTACTCGGGAGGCTGAGGCAGGAGGATCGCTTGAGTCCAGGAGTTTGAGGTTGCTGTGAGCTAGGCTGACACCACAGCACTCTAGCGGGGGCAACAGAGTGAGACTCTGTCTCAAAAAATATAAAAAGAAGGAAAAGCAAAGGGAAGGGAGAGGGAGGGGAAATGACTGGCATCTGATGAGGAAAGAAGGGTGCACTGAGGGAGGGCCGTGCCATGGGATTTGGTGCATGTTATCATCCTGAGTGCATTTTCGCCACCTGGTCACCCCTCGAATGACCAACAGGATGAGAAGCCCTGGTGTCCCCTAGTGAAGCTCATTCATGGCAGACCCTCAGGGAGGGCAGGGCAGGATGGGAGAGGAGGCGTGGGAAACGGAGGCGCGCTCTTCCGTGGGGAAAAGCACTGGGCAGAGGGAAAAGAGCGTGGTGTGGACTGGGGGTCTCAGTGCACTAGACGGCCAGTCCCTTGGCTGTGCGTAGGTCCCTGGAGGTCCCTGGAGATCCTCTCGTCCAGGTCTGGTTGATCTGGGGTAGCTGAGATAACTCTGAAGGTCAAGGCCAGGCTAAGATAATTTGCCAAGCCAGCCAATTTCCCTTTGGTACCCTGTGGCCGTCCCCATGAGAGAGCCTCGTCCCTCATAAAGCTTCCCCCAACAGCCTTTCAATGTATCGATCCAGGAATCCACTTCACAACTTCTGATCAGATTGATATTAACCCTTCAGTGGGACTGTACACTCCCAGGGAAATACATGTGACTTGTCACAGGTACTGGCATAAGGGAAGACCTGGGAGGAGAGCCCTAGGAACTGGTCACCGTCCTCAAGTGCTAAAGGTTCCCCTCTCTTCCCCCAGAACTGCTGACGGTGGGCATTTCCTCGATGCAGCCTCCTGGTGGCAGCCACCTCTTGGACACCCTGCGCTCCGTGTTTGAAGCGTCCTCGGAACCTGAGTGGAGGTCTATAGTTGTGCTGGTCCACCTGTCAGATCCTGACCCCGAGTGGCTCAACCAAACAGCCGCCAATATTTCCAGGCTCTTTGCACCACACATTGAGGCCAGGGAGCTGCTGGTGATCCATGGGCTTCTCGGTGGCTCTCCTGTCCCAGGAAATCTGAGTGACACCAATCACACCTCACCCTGCGAAGCACTTTATTCCAGGCAGAAAGTAGACTATGCCCTCCTCATGAACTTTGCCAGCAGCCTCTCTGATTACTTTCTGTTGATGGAAGATCACGTCCACTGCAGCCCCAAATTTGTTTCTGCCATCTACTGGGCGTTATCGGCCTGGGAAGAGCTCCCTTGGGTGACCCTGGAGTTCTCCAGCCTGAACATGTCAGGGAAAGTTTTCCGCTCTAGTGACCTCTCCCGCCTGACCTCTTTCTTCCTCCTCTTCCTTAACACTCCTGCTCCCTTGCTTCTCTCTGAATTCCGTCTTCTCTTGGCCCAAGATGTTCCAATCCGTTTCACTCCCTCACTCTTTTCCCATGTGGGCGTGTCTTCTACAGTTGAGGACAGCTGCTTTCCTGTGGAGAAGGAGCAGGACTTTGATGAACCAGACAACCCCACTGCGACTGTCGTCACAGACATGGAAGTATTTTTGGATTTGATTTCACAATATGCCTATACTCTGAACCAGGAGGACTTCTCTACACTGGATCTTTTAAAAGGCAATCACTTGACAGTGATTATGGACAGACCGCAGAAAGTCATCCGGATAGCGGTACTGACGGGCTTGAATGAGGGAGAGAGATACCGCCTGCAGCAGGGGCAGGTAGAACTGGGCTACGATCCCATCGAAGAGCCCAAAGGCTGTGCTCACTATACCCTGCTAGGGCCGCTGGTGCAAGGGAATCTGGACCAGAGGGTATTCTCTGAAGAAGATTCTGAGAAGGTGAGTTGTATCCGGCTGTTGGTGTTAGCATCTCAAAAGGGTTGGGTACTGATCAGGCAGATCAGAGTCTGGACTCAGCCTGAGGAAGAGGAGAGTTAGAAGGCACAATGAGGATTCTGGAAGAATTGGGTCTTGGAGTGGGATCTACATGGTTGACAAGAAATAAATCTAGAAGTTGATCAAGGGTTGCTCATTCTTAGTAGGCTGGCACTATAATTTATTGTCCAAAGCAGCACACTTTTGAACGTGAAAGAAAATGCTATTAAAAATTACACTAAATAGATGTAACCAGGACTGTCCTGGGCAAGACAAGATGTATGGTCACCCTAATTCTGAGTTTTCTAAGCTACTGAATATAGGTGACACAATCAAATGTGGGGCAAAGACAATATCCTTCTGGCTTCCAAGGGCCAGAGAGTGCAGTGAGTGAGAAAGAGTCACCACAAACTGCCTTGTTCTTGTCTACACACAAGTGTAACATCCTAGAATCTTTCTTTGAGGTAGTTATTTCTCTATCTAGAGTTGGGAACAGTCTTAATAGAACTATGGTCATGGGTACAGAACTGACTTTGACTCTAATTTGTAGATCCAAGCCTCCAAGGTTGAGAACTTGCTGGAGCAAAATTAGCTGACTTGGGTTTAAAGAATGAATGTGTCAAGTATCCATTAATCTCCTAGAACTGTGTGCAAATTTGGTGTAGGTTTATACATGCATTTTTTTCTAAGCAGAGGATACTTTACTTTCATCAGACCATTGAAATGTTCCATATCTTCTCCTAAAAAGTTAAGTATAGTTAGACCAGCAACTGTAAACTTCTTGAGGGAAGAAACAATATGTTACTTGCAGCAGAAATCTATTTCCATTGGGAAATAAGAAGATGGGATCATACATTCCTTCGTCTATCTAATCAGGAAATATTTGGGTGTGTACTTAATATTGAGTGCTTTTAAAGACAGTATGAATAATAAGATCAACCAAACATGGAGGACACCAGCAAGGGCTTGACAGAAAAAAATCAGGAAATGTGACACAGATGTCCATTCTCTCAAAATTGATGAGTAAAACTGATGAACTCCAATAAAAACAGAAATGAGGTTTTTTTGTAGTTTCCTTTGCTTTTGAAATTTTTCCTAAAGTTAAACTTACAGAAAAAAATTTGCATATAGCTAGTTGCCTCTCACTAGAATATTTATTCTCCCA